CGAGTGCTGGCAGGTAGGGAGCATCCCTGGCTGCCGGCTGACTCAGTGCTGGGAGAGGACATCCCTCCTCTGGGAAGGGAGCGGGGAACCACGATTCTGGAAGGACCAAGCACGTTTCTACGGTGACAATCATCGCTCCACGCACCCTGCCCCCTGGGGTCAACGCCTGGTTTGGGTTGGCCTCTAACTGCAGAGGGAGGCAAGGGGCTGAGCGTGACCCTCTCGCTCCCCCCCAGCTGCCAGGCACACGTGCTGCAGCCACCCAAACCACCTCTGGGACGGCAAGGGGGGAGGGTGGGGTTTTGCCTGCTGCCCCAGTGGGGGGACACAGCAGCCGTTGGCAGGATCGGGCCCTGCTGGGGCACTGGGCTCTCTTCACCCTCTGTGCAGGAGGAAACAGCTCTTCCCTTTTAAGCAAGACAGCTTGCTACTCAAAAAAATACAGCCTGGCAAAGCTTGATGCTTGGCAGCTCCTTTCCTGCAGGAGCAGTAGTCAGAAGAGGGAAAGCTGCTGATCCTGATGGCCGCGGTGCATGCAGCATCCTTTCTGCTAACGCAGACAGCCGAGACAGCAGGAGGAGCAGCCTACTTCACAGGGACATGAGGACTTCAAAAACCCCACTGTGCCTGATGATCCGCTGTGCTGGAATGAGTCACTGAATGAATCTGGTGGGCACCAGCATCCCCGCCGTTCATGTGATTATAGCTCATCTGAGTGCATCATGCCCCCTCCCCGCCAGGAATTTGTCATTTCTGAAGGCACCGCATGGATCTCCTCCCCACTGCTTCCTTGGCCAGCGGGGTGGTGCCACCGGCACAGCCACCATCCCTCTCCTGCAGCAGCCGCTCACCAGGAAGACAAGGCGTGGAGTGGCCAGCAACCCGAAGAGCCACTCTGCCACACCACGGGAGCCAGCCCAGGGCCCCCCAGCAAAACCAGCCATGCCAGAAGCATCCGTTTCCGTTCCCGTGCACCCACACCTCAATTCCGCGGCGGTGCTGCCCGAGGCATCTCGCCATTGGGTGACACGGAGCAGCGCGGAGCACCCTGTATCTTCTCCCAGGGGTGCCTGTGCACGAAACCTGGGGAGGTTTCATGGCAGGAAAGGCGAGAGCGTTCCCCTTTGCCCCTTCCCAGGCAGGGTGTGCTTGTATCTCAGCAGGGAGCAGAGTATTGCTGCCTGCTCCTCCTCCTCCTCCTCCTCACCATCACAGCCCCAGCCCAGCAGGAAAACAAGGCCATTACAACCAGCACCAAAGGGAGGCTTTATAAATGGCAAAAGAAAGGGGCACCAAAGCCTCCCTGGGGGGAAAAATCCTCCCAGTTAAACAGCAGGAGCAGAAAGGGTGTGTTTGTGCTCTGCTCGGGAGTTGGAAGCAGCCCTGCAGGGGAGCATGAAACCCTCGTGTCTTATTTGAAACTGCAGCAACAGGGTGACTGCCCCGACACAGGACCCTTGCAGAAACCATTCACTGCTGCATCTGGTCTTCCTGTTATTCTTGAACAAATTGTACTAACCACCCAGGCACCCCAAGAGAGTTAATTGCTGCCAAGGGCAATTAGCACAGCCTGAATCTCCAGGTCCAGAGGAGAAATGCACGCTCCAGCCTCAGGAGAGGCGGCAGCACCCTGAGCCCAGAGGCTGCGCAGCCCGCGGGGATGCTGCGGGATGGTAATTGCACCCTGATCACAGACGCTGCAGCAGAAGCCAATTCAAACCAGAGAAATGGCCTTTAAACAACTGCTTCATGCTGACGCTGTGCCACAGGCTTCACAGACCCCACCCCGACAGCCCCGGGGGGGGGGGCTAATTTTCCTCTGGGGGTGGGAAAGGGTGACTGGAGCCACACTGCACCCCTCGTGACACAGAGGGGAATGGACAAGGCACGGGGCAGGCATTTCTCTTTCTGCCGTGGCGGAACAGCTGAGGTGACCATTTGGGACACACTTAACACGGAGCCACCTGTGCCACCCTCTGTGCCCCGCTGCAAGGAGCCCAGCCTACCCCGCTCCTCCCACCCCACAGCCCCCCAAACGTGCTCCACCTCCAACCCACCTCTCCTGGAAACAGGCAGCCCCCATGCAGGTCCCTGGGATGGGATCTCATAAATGGACGCGACCGCATCCCTGTGCTCCCCCAGGCATCTTGGGGACACATTTTCCTCCTCACAGTGGCTCATCTCACCACCACTAAGCCACCCAGGTCTGCCTCCTCAGCACATGACAGCATGTTCATGGGTTTTATCATCAGAAATCCCTGCTCCGAGTCGAGTGAGAGCCAGGCCAAGCCCCCAGCCTCAGTCTTGCATGGCCAGTGCCCTGCTGCAGCATGAAAATCAGGCACGTAACCATCACCAGCACCTGTACTGCACTTCCCTAGGGCTTGGTGACACCGTGGCCCTGCTGCTCACAGAGCCAAGAGGCTTGAAATCAGACTCACTTGAATGACAGGAGCTGGATCCACAGCACTGAGCCCCGCGAACCACCGAGCGGCTGTGCGCCTCAGCTGCAGGCAGGCGGTTCCATCTCGCCGGGTACAGGAATATTTCAAACCTGCAATGTGTCAGGTTCAGCGTTGAATCCCAAAGGGAAATAAAAAAGGACCGTAAGCTACTCCACAGCACTCAGAGCAAACGCTCAGCACACATCGACACACAGCACCCACACGCACCCCGTTATCCCGCAGTGGTAACCCCGACGCAGTAACCCACCTATGTCCTGACAGTCCGGATGGAAAGGGGAAAGATCTCCAACATCTCTGAGGTAAGCAGAAACAGGGTGTAGGAGAGCACAGCAGGGCCCCGCGCCAATTCGTACCCTCAACTGGTCTTAAGCAGTAAGACTGGTACCCTCAGGCAGCAGCTGGGCCAGCAAGCGAGAGGGCAAAGGCCCTGCGCTGTCGGCCTCAGCGCTCTGCACCTGCTGACAAGGCTAAGAGAGGGCACCAAGTACTCCCGGGGGTGCAGCGAGGGGTACCAGACCCTGGAGCAGCGCTGGGTGCGTGCACCCCCACGCGCAGACTGCAGCACCCTGAGGCACCCAGTACCCCGAGGGCCTGTGACCAGGGTACCGCAGCACCCTGCGGCAGCAGATCGGCACCAGGATGGCAAGATCAGCCACTGGAAGTGGATTCTTCCCCAGCTTCCTTCCCACTCTGGTCCCTCAGACCAGCTTCTGCTGCTCCCGAGATCCAGTTCCTCAGGAATCTGAGGAATCCATACAACCCACCCAGCTCACAGGACCGTTCAGTTTTCCTACACAGAGTAAGAACAGAATCTTAAGCTTTATTTCTCTATTGGCCAGCAACTTACACTGGGTTAAAAAAAAAAAAAAAAGCAGTGAGCATTATTATACAGAGAAAAAGTATAAAACAACTCAGTGGACACAAGCCAACTTACTGTTCCTATCTCATTCTTCCTGGCCTCTCCCAACCCTGTACAATATCTGAAGGGAATGGGCTAAGGCAGCTATGAAGAGATGCTTAAGAAACTAGAAATATTGCTTCAAGCAACATGCTCAATATTTTCCTATTAGTTAGTAGTCAATACTGGTCAGGAACTTGATTATAAAACAAGAAATAATTTAGAGATTTCTCCTTTAGATCATTACACAATAATTTAGATTTCTTTCCCCTCTTTCTAACTGCTGTGGAGCCAGGGACACACCTCAGTTCCTCCACCTCTCCTTCTGCATTAGTTAAGGATCATTTCACAGGGCTGATGTTGATGGGGGAGTTTCAGATTGACCTGCTCTGAATTTTAACTTGTAGCGCCAGTCCAAGATTTCTGCTCTGTGAACTAAAAACCCCACGATGCTGTCAGACCATGCAGGGGGCTGGGTGACTTTGCTCACGTTACCTGTCTGCTGCCAAGGGACAGGGCTCAGCTGGCACCACCGTAAGGCCAGGAGAGGGAACTGGTTTATAAAAAGGCCTGTCTTCACTGCTTAGAAACACCAAAACCTCACAGCCCGTCCTGCTTCATGGGTGCAAGTGGCACACCAGGAAGCTGAGAACAAGGCAAGAGGCACACCAGATCCTGTGAATTCAGGTGAAGACCCTGTTGGCATCACGATGACACCAAGTCCATAGCAGCAGCGGCGATGTCTACATCCTGTATGTATCCAGGATCCCAGTGCAGAGAGAATATTTAAACAAACCTGTTCCTCTGCAGCAAACAAACAGTTCACACAGCACTACCAATTTACCAAGCATACTGGGACAACTGGTGGAAGCTTACTCTCCTGACCTTCTTGGCAGTAACCAGCAAAGTGGGCTTCAGATCTCATTAAAGCCAGAAAACCCTCAGCTGACTAACAAGCTCTTTGGAGGCTGATAAAACATTTGCATATATTCATTTCCTGCCCAAGACAGACAATCCTGGGGCTGTTAATTCGAAAAATCAAGGCAAGGGCATCTCTCAACACGTAAGAGACGTGAGAAGGTACTTCCACTAACCAAACAGGCCAAAGGGTGGCAAGAAACTCCAGCTCCAAAACCAGACCAGTTCTCCACCAAACCTCAGCAAGGGATAGGCAGGAAGAACAACTGAAAAGTTCTCTCCCTCACACTGGAAACCACTCAATCACAGACTAGACCCAAAGAATTAGGAAGTAGTCTGTCATCTTTGCTCCAGAATCCCTAGAAAGCAAAAGGCCTCTGTGGCTCCTAATGGCACTGTACTGGGGGAAGCTTCGAGGAAGAGGAGAAAGGATTGCTGAGATATCCTAAGGCACCCACATCTTGACAACATCAGAGCCGTGACAAGATTTCAACTGCACCAAGTTGTGCTCTGGAGCAGCAGGGACAGTAGCTCCTGCCCAAGCAACCAGGCAGGCAGAGAACACCCGTGTCAGGACATCAGTGCACGCCCAGGAGGGAGGGAAATCTGCCGTGTACGAGACTCGGCTCCAGCTCAGCGCAGAAACATCATCTGTCCTCACAGTCAATGCCTGATGCTGCTGAGCCACTTCTCAAGAGAGCAAACCATGGTTCTCGCATAGCATCCCGATACCTTCACGTTGGCTCAGGAAAAGCCTCAAGAGAAATGGCCCTGGATGAACCTTGCTCCGTAGTTACATCAAGGATTACTGTTTCGCTAAAGCTTCTAGCGGAAGATCCACAGCTCTTTTGTTTCTTGACAACGATGGCTGGCTCGTGCACAAGGAGGGTGACTTTCCCCTGTGGGGGCAGGTAAGGCGGTGCATGGTTTGAGAGGTATTTAATTGCAGAGCCAAGTCCTCGGGTTACAGACACTTCTGTGGCGGTGGTGGAGAGCGGTCGGGCTGGCAGGCGCTAAGGGAAGTGGCAGAGGGGGAGCAACAGCGTTCCTGCAGCTATTAATATGGTTCTGGCTTTAAACTCTTGTACAAGCAGCAGGTGAAAATCATCCCAAAGATCTACAGGGTGTAAAGAGGAGAGAAACACATGTAAAAAACAATGGATGCAGCGGAAGCAGCAGCTTGCAAAGTAACAGCCTGGACAGAGACTGGAGTGGCAGCTAACTCTGCCTGGGGAGACCGCACTCCCGCTTGCAGCAAGTGGCGGGAGGGAACATAATCTGTGCTAATCCTTGTAATTAATCACCAGCAGCTTCTCTGGGGTGTAATTTGGCTACTGGCCAGGAAAAAGGGGAAGATGAGGAACTCCCAGAGATATCTGCATCTGGAATAAGGGGACATCCTGTGCCTTCCCCTCTAGAACGGGTGTGGGGAGCATCCATGTCCTACCCCTTTATTCATCACACTCTCCCAAATCATTTGCAGACCCACAGTGCCGTTCCTCAATATGACACAACCGAGGAGGAAATTCTGGATGACTTAAAACAATCCTAATGAACCACAGAATGAAACTCCTCCAGACCGGCTCTTGGGCTGCAACCCCGGCACATTCCCCACAAGAGGTCCCTCTCAGGCTGCCAAACTGCCTGCCATGGCCACTGCCTCTCCCACAGCCCTGGCGCAGAGAAGCTTCTCCCGCTTGCCCAGCTGGCTGCACGCTTTCACCGGAAGCAAATTTTACAGACCGGCAGAAGAGGCTTTTTCTTTGGAGCTAGTGAATCCTTGGATCCCTCAAGTACCTGGCAACTTCTCCTTGCCAGGCAGGGAAGAGCCTAAAACATCCGATTTTTGCTTTTCCTCAGCTCTTGGGATTCCTTTAACACCCAGCACTCCCCAAATTCCACTCAGTCCTTTTACCTGCACGCAAGCAATGCTGATCCCCACTGCCCCGATAATTTTTAGATGCTCTTGAATGAAGTTTTCCAGCTTGGTAATGCAACCGCTCTGCAGGGTGAAAGGAGGGACATGGAAAAATCAGCTTAATTTCGACCTCTTGTCCACTTCAACGCAACGGTTGCAACCCCTGAAAGCAAGGCTATAAAACCCAACATCTGTGAGCAACCTCCTCCCCCGACACCACTGGAAAAGCTACACAGATGATGTCAACTGCGTCGTTTTGTACTGCTCTGGGCCCATCGAACAAACCCGAGTTGGCTGCTAGGTGGGCAGGAGAAACGCAGAACTCGCCACATCACAGAGGGAGTGTGTGATTTTTCTGAGATACACCGAGAAAGGTTCCCTCACTCGCTGCCGAGCACATGCCTGGAGAGGGTGTTTACTCCCGTCAGGCCAAAAGGCCAAGGAAATGCTGCTGAGTGGATCCAGTACCAAGAGTTCCAACATGACAGGAGCCTTTTAACAGTAAATTCCTCCCGCTGCTATTTATGACCGCGGTGAGCTTCAGTGTGAACCTGGCAAGCCAGGCTCTGCCCGCCTCTGCCTCGCAAGCGCATCCTTGGCTGGCAGCGTGACCTTTCCCTCCCTGTTTCAGGCCCAAGTTTTTGTTGTCATAAGGCAAAAATAAATCAGTAAGAGCATTCTCTGGGGTGGGTGTTTTGTTTTGTTTGGTTGATTGTTTTAAAAGCTCTCTTTAAATAACTGTACTGTTTACTGAAGTAGGTTTTCCATGGTAACATCAAGGGGATTTATTGTCTAGGCTATAGCAGTGCCCCAAGGGTGCTGGGGGCCCTCCTGCCCCAGGATTTTACAGGGAACACAAACACACACAGGCAGACAGAAAGAATGAGCACGCAGCCCTCTGGGGAGGGATGGCAAAGGCCTCACTTTTCCCATGCCAGCATTATGATTGAGAGTCAGTCCCATCTGCCCTGATATGATGCAGTTACTCCCATTCCCTGATCTGACCCTTTTCTAGGTTTTTCTTCCTCAAAGCCACTAAAATCCTTTCTGATCTTAAACTGAGACCTCATATCATGATACGCAGCATCTGACTGTAGATCCAAACCTCCCCTTACAGCTTTTTCTCCCCTAGAGCTAGCCCAGTACACTTGGCAGCCTACAGGGCCTCTCTTAGTAATGCAGCTCCACGGAGCACAGAGGGGATGGGAGCTGCCAGCCTTGCCCCTCAAACAGTTGTGGCTTTCTACTCCCTGAAACACTTCATCAGCCCTTGGACTCTATTCTGCACCTCCTCCTTGGGTCTTGCCTGGAAGGCACACACCCTATGAAAATCCTTCTTCCTGAAGAGCAAAACCCAGGCAAGCAGCTGGGTATAAGAGGGGCTTTGATAGAATCTTTTAGGTTGGAAAAGACCTTTAAGATCATCAAGTCCAACCATTAACCTAACACCACCCAGTCCACCACTAAACTATGTCCCTACGCACCTCATCCACACTTCCCTGAAATCCCTCCAGGGATGGTGACTCCACCACCTCCCTGGGCAGCCTGTTCCAACACCTGACAGCCCTTTCAGTGAAGACATTTTCCCTAATATCCAATCTAAACCTTCCCCGGTGCAACTTGGACCGTTTTCTCTTGTCCCATCACTTGGGAGAAGAGAACCAACTCCCACCTCTCTGCACCCTCCTTTCAGGTAGTTGTAGAGAGTGATAAGGCCTCCCCTGAGCCTCCTCTCCTCTATGCTACCCCATAGAGTGTGTCACAGCCAGCCAGTCAAAGCCAGATGACAGGACTGGAGGGTGCCAAAATAGCTGCAAGAACTTTTACCAGCCTTATGCAAACTGGATGAATAAACGGTCTGAGAGCTACCTGTTTACTTACTCAGCTAGTCTGGGATTCAACTTGCTTCTTCTAGAAAAGAGACAAATGCCTCTATCTCCACTCCAGCCCTTTTTTTCGGCCCAAACTGCAGCCTACAAACTGGTCTAATGTGTCTGCTCCAGGGCCCTCTTTCTTCCCCACAAGTTGTTTCTTCATGCTGAAGGTAAAATCCCATTATCTCAGCCAAGGACCAGAAGTATCTCCATTTACACCTCACTGAGTAATTCCAGCATCAGGAAGCTCTGTCAAATGAAGGGCTCACATACAAGTCTCTTGCAGAATGAACCACCTCTCCAACTTACCCCCATCACTAGCATACTCTGTAGTGACAAATATCATTTCTTATTTTTCTCTATATCTACATATAAAATAATAGCCTCGATGACTGAATTCTACTTTCTAAGGAATCCTACCGACTTCAAACCCTACTGACAGTTTGCAGCATCAACCCAACACCTTCCCTCCCTGCCCACCCCCTTTACATACTTCGTGACAGGTGGCTCCAAGGCCCTTTTGCTCTTTACCTCCTTGTAGATGTTGGAAGGATGGTCTCTTCGGCCACACAGGTCGGTTATCGTCTTACAGCAGCTGTCTGGGACTTTCCGTCCACTGGCCTCTGGGGATCTGATCCACAGGCTGTCAGCCCAGTCGGTGTAGTTGTTGCTCCCACAGCACTTGAACTGCACACACACAGAACAAAGGCTGAGCCTGCTTGCACTGCAACCTCCTCCTCCCTCCAGCCTCCCACACCAAGACCTGGGCTTCACTCTCCTTTGCAGAGAGTCTCCAGCTATTTCACAGGCTTTTTTTTAAGGCTACTATAATTATTAGTGACTTTTGTGTAAATGGCCATTAAATATCAGCTCTATCCATCTTTCAGCAGCTGTGACTTCTGGTTGCTGCTGGGAAGAAGGGTAACCAGAGCACACCTGCAGCTGCCTCAGCTCTTAAACATCAGTCTGGAGAGTGTTAATGGTGGTAACAAGGTAAGTTTAATTACCAGTTACTATGGCAAACGCACCTGCGATGGCAGTATGCATACAGTGGGCTCCATGCTTTGAAAGGGCCTGTGCACAAGAGTCTTTTCTGTGGGAAATTCTGACAGAATTGTGGCAGCCATAACCTGAACCAGGCACAGCCAGCAACACGAAGGCTCTTCTTTCATTACAGCCTGCTCTCTAGGGTACTGAGGAGCTTAATGAAAAATGTCAGCAGTTTCTCCAGGGCTCTGAAGTGGGAAGTAGAAACAGCTGTCAGGAGTGATGCAGCAGCTCCAGTTCACTCTGGGAGCAACACAGATGTTTCCCCAGTGCTACTGGACATATGATTCAGAGATCACACCATGCGACGCTGCTGGCTGCAAGGCCCAGGCCCTGCACCCCACTCAACCTTCTCTTGAATCAGAAGCAGCAGAACATACACTCAACATACATGAGAAACACTTGTATGTTGGATGTCAAGAGCCCACGATGCCTTTTGTGTGCTTAATTTTAAGCCCTGCAATTGCATTAATTCTCCCTGCCTCGAGAGACACCCACCTCCTGCTGCAGTTTGTCTACCGCACTGGTAACACTCTCTTCTCCCTCCTTCCGGTACTTCTGGGTCATGGTGTTCTTCAAATTTTGCTTCAGCTCCATGCTCAGCTGAACAGAAGAGACAAGTAGGATAAAAATCACATTCCATGGCCTTTGCTCCAGGAGAAAAGCACAGAGTCTAGTGGAAGCTACAGCTTCCTTCAAGATCATCCTCCAAGGTTCCACTGGACAGGCTTATTTCCAATTGATTACAGATCATTACAGATAACACCTCCTTTTAACAACCAGAAGGAGGTGCTTCAGGACCAAATCTCAACCTGTCTACACATCACTATGTGGGTCCTCACCTTAAATATGTAAGCTTACTAAGACTTGTCTGCATCAAAAGAGAATACAACACTGTGCCTGCTTAAATCTTGTATTGGCATCAAAAAGGATGCCACAGGAGGGAATTAAGTGTGCAGAAGTACTGCAAGGCCTTTCTTCGTAACGCTGACAGAGAGACAAAGTCTGATTGTGCAAGCACAGAATTTCTGAGAGTATCATCATAAACCACTGGCATGTTAATCAAGGGGAATTCTTCTCACCTATCCAGGTGATGGCCAGAAAGTGCCAAAGAGCTACACCGTCTATTTTTTTTTTTTCCCATCCTGATTCATACAGCAACACCGTTTTAGTCCAATACCTGTGAAATTCTAAGTTTCCTCTACTAATAAACAATGTCAGCATGCATTTTAGGTGGGCAGCCTCTCTACACACCTTTTATTCTACACAGTAAGTAGTGAGAGGCCAAGCATCTGGTTATGCTGAACTGTGCAAAACACAGCCTGCAGTTTACTCTCCCTTTGAAATGCTGTTTTTTTCCAACCCCATGTGTCAAATGGGGACAATACCTACCTCACAGCGATGGTATGAGGCTTCATTCATTAATATTTGCAAAATGCTTTGAGATCCTGGGCTGGGAAGCTCTACAGAAGCGCAAAGGACTTAGTGTAATCAAAAAAAAGTTTTCAGCAGCTGGAAGGCATCGGATGCAAATAAAGAGGAAAGTCCATTAGCAGAATTATTATTTGGGAGAAAAGCAGTTACCTGCGGGCTCATGGGGAAGTACTGCAGCATGGAATAGAGATAACAAAAGAAACAGTTTAGCCAGACACACACATGCCTTAGACACCAAAGCAAGGGCTGAAATAAAACCAGTGGCACACAGAGCAAGCAGCCTGCCTCCAGGAACAAGGGGGATTTGGCAGCCAGAGGGCAAAGGAAGTGCAGCCATTGATCGGATGCCCTCAAGTGATCTACAGCACTTAAGGGTACAGTTCTGAATAGGTTGTCCCTTATTTCAACGTAAGGATCAACTCCTCTTCATCCATTGTCACACATAAACCTCGCGCCTTTGCATGGATGGATGGACCTTGGCTTCTTGCCCTGCTTTTTTTTTCCCTGTTAAACACACACACTTGTGCCACTGATCCCTCCTGGTAGGAGCCAGCACAGTCCTCTGGCTCCTCACAAATCACCAGTGCCCATTTTAGTGAGGCAAAGCACCGAAGGTCCAAGAGAAAAAGGAACGGATCCTGTGTGATCTATTCTAGATCACACCCTACCACCCTGTGAATCTGTGTGAATCTGTGAATCCTGGCAGCAAGACCAACAGAACGGCATGTCGCTACTTCTCAGACAGCCACTTGACAACAATCCTTGCCGTTTTCAATCAATTTCTAGACACAAGAGCAACTTCCAGGCTGTTTGTTACTTGGTAGCTAAACTCCCTTTGAAACCAAAGTGATGGCTTAAGCCTCTGCTCTGTGCAATGGCAGTAAGTGCCAAGCCAGAACGCTGGGAGTCAGTGCTGTTCTCCAGCCCCTCAGCTGGGCAGCTTCAGAAAAGCTCTCAAAAGCTTCTTGACCTGAAAGGACTTCTCAGCTGGATCATTCATTATCTTTGCCACCTCAAAAGCATGGCAGCTAGCTTGCTGGATGCAGCAGGAACTGTCCCTACGTCCTCAGTGTCCTATGTGGCACTAATGTGATTTCAGTTGCTTGCACTATGCCTTGGAGGGCGTTAGTAGAGTTCCTAGACCTACACAGCCTCAAAAACTGTCTTCTACAAGGCTCTGCAGGTGAGCCACAGGAAGGAGCTGAGCAGCGAGGATGAGCAGCCTCTCTAGAGTAACCACCACCACTTCATCAAGACCAATGAATAATCCAAGGTCTTCTGTATAGGGATGGGAGTGAGTACGGACACGTGGGAAGGTGACCCACAACCAGACCCTATGTCCCCAGTCTCCAAGCCCAATTCTGGCTGCAGAAATGGGGTGATAACCAGCTGTTGTCTCTCCCTGGTTTGAGTCTCTAAGGATTCATGTCCACTCACCTGTTGGTAGTAGATATAGGCCAGGATTCCAGCAATAATTTCCAGGAGAAAGATGCACAGCAACAATATGAAGTACTGCAAAATAATGGGAATAGCAGGACATTAGAATAAAATGTAAGGAGGTGCCAGGAGACAACTTTTCATGAGCTGATAAAATGCATGACTGCCTTCACTGGTGCTTTTCTGCAGCGGTGCTCAAAGGCAGGGGCTGGGATTAAGACCTCAGTAGGGAAGGAAAGAAATAATCCCACAAGTTAAAAAAAAAAAAAAAACAACACAACAGTTATCCCCACAGGATAACTGAAGACAAGCGGCAGCAAGTGTGAGTTTAACTCATAGAGCCAGAGGGATGTAAAGGATGGAAAAGTGCAGGCAACTACGTAAGATCACTGGACAAAAGTGGTTGCTGGATAACCTGATGACTGCACTCATTATCACAGAAGACAACTGATTCTGACATCAGTTCAAAAAAATTTGACACTTTTCCATGTTTTGATATTGTTTAGGGCATTTCACCAAGTTGCTAAAGAGCAATATATGTCAGAATTACGATTCAACAAAGCAACAAAGGGCCCATTTCACCAAGGATAGAGCAGACGAGCTAAGCATAAGCATATGCCTTAAATCTATGTTCCCAGTGACTTCTGTGGGGCTCAGCCACAGGCCGAAGGGCACTGCTGAAGGGGAGGACTTTAGCACTGCTTCACACTCAGGACTCTGATTATATGTTTTGCTGAACTAGGATCTTGAGGGAAAGGCTTAGTATCTCAAAAACAAAGTGAGAAGACCTCTTAGAAGACTTTTTCTAAGACTATTTCTTAAAGATCTTAATGGCAGTGAAATGGGAAGTGCTCTGCTTACCAGAGGGAGAATCAAACAGACAGTTTGATCTGGAAGCAGAGTTTCAAACAGGAGGGGAAGCCAAATCTATGAGGAGGAACGTGCACTAGATGAAAAGGACTGGGCAGGCCTGAAAGACAGAGGGTTATGTGGCCACTTCCTCCTTAGGGTGAAAGAGGGCTTTTCAGGGAGAATGCCTGTCCTGACACACAGACCCTGCCTTGCTCCTCATCAGCAATAAACAGTTTCTTTACAGATCCAGGCCATTCTATGACTGCAATTAAATTCTTCTTTCTGTAGATAAAGCTGGAGAGATACCAGTTCCAGCCATAACAAGGGCCACATGCTAAGTCCCTGTCCCCAGACAGAACAACCCAAGTATCTCCCATTTTCTGTTTTACCCCTGACCTTAAGAAACGGCTGTTCCCAAGGGATGAAGCAAACAGCTCCCTACAAATGCAGCTGGACATCAAATCATCTCTCCCTGGCCCAAAGGAAGACAGTGAAGACCTGGACACAGCAAGCTGACCTACACAGCACAGATTTCTTCTGCTGCATGAGGCTTACACTCCCACGGTGCATCCTTCTTCACCAGGTATTTCCAAGCCCCTTTGCAGGAGTAAAATGACACACACACTCAGGCTTCCTCCTTCGCCTCTGTTGGGATTCAGCAGCTGCGAAGGATGGACAGCTGGGTTTTATCTGCAGAGCAGGCTTTAATCTGAGCACACAATCTCAGGCTTTCACTCCCCGGCCCCACAGTCTCCCCCGGCAGCCGAACACTGTCCGTCTCTGCAGACGCCTGTACAAGGTACCCGCTCGTACCAGGGGAATGAGTCACCCAGCGGAGTGTGGGATAGCTAAAGGCTGGTCCCAACACCCACAGGAGGCTGAAAGGAGGCAAGACAGGATCAGCATGCCTTACACAAAGACTGGCTTTCTTTTGTTGGGATCTAGTTATCCCCTAACTGCTCTGACATCATCTCTCTGCCAAGGAGGGGGCAGGAGGGTGGCAGGATGCTGAGAGCATCCAATGAACAGTAAAGTTTCTTTTATTTATTTTTCCCTGCTCTGTGTCATCATGTCAGAGGCATTCAGGTATAGCTGAGTTGTGTCACCAGAGCTCGGCTCGTTGTGCTGGATTACGGTGGACAGAAACAAACATGAAGCCAGCAGACTTTAAGAAAACTGAGTCACAAGGCCCTTGTAAAACCTTGTGAGAGAAGTTAGTATATCTGCCACCCACATATCCAACCTGTCTCTGCTGATACATGGATTTGTTGTTCTTATCTCAGTCTCATCATTCCCTCAGGGCCACTTCCTAGGATCATGCTGATATAGGGGAGCAGCAGCTTTCACTCTGGACACACACAGAGCACAGGGCTGCTCTCCTTGCTCTTCATCAGGAGTTCCAGGGCTTTCTTACAGAGGGCTGCTCTGGGAGGAATAGCCCAGCTCTGGCATGGAGCTGCAGGGACATGCCCTACTTGCTTCCCAAGAGGCTGCGGAACAAGACAGAAATGCAGGATCACCCAAAGGCCGGTAGTAGACACATGCCTGGACCTGGGTGGGCTCTGGGCAAAAGTTACTCTCACTCAGGCTGCAAGCCAGAGTCAGGGCTGCCTGATGTCTCAAGGTCTACACGCTTCAGATTTCTTCCATCTAGCTTCAAGCGTTTGAGTAAAGCACCAAGCTTTAGTGTGTTTTCCCCTGAATAACCCAAGGAATGGTTCAACCCACCTACAAGCCAAATCGCTCTCTGGAGAGATCTTTCTGCTACCCAAAAAAGAGGTATATAGCAACTACACTCCTAAATCAGGAATCTCACTTCAGTGGGAGGGCTCCATGCTGAAATGCAGCAGGAACAGAAATCCTAACCAACGTGTGTTCCCTTCTACCCATCCAAGGTAGCTAACTAGAAGTGGCAGTGTGAGGGGCCAAGCCTGAAGAAAGCCACCTTCTTTCTTTACATGCAAGGTCTTCTATTTGATGGGCTCTTTCCTGAGACTCCTGCTTGCATATTTTTGTGCATGAAAACAAGTATCTTGACCAAAGTATAATACAGCAATGTTTCATATGCTTGTGAAGAGCTGCACTGCAGCGACACAGCCAGCCAGGCTGTAGATTCACTGCCACGCCTGCTCAACAGAGCCAGAGAAACTCCACCTCTGCTGCCCAAGCCTCAGCACATCACCTGTCAAAGGAGGGACATGAGGAAGGTAAATAAGCAATGATATAAAATAAGTAGCACAGCTATGAGTGTTGAGCAATGAAATACTATGAAAAGCCTTGAAGTGGGCCCGTAAAACTCATAGGTAGAAAGGCAGCAAAAACATTCACAGCTTCCTCAGTCTCCAACAGAAAAACAAACTAAAAACCAGATATGTATTTTACAAATCTGCCAATAATTGATTTTTAAAAGCACCAAGGAGGCACTGGTGTGAGCATAGAGTCCTGCTTGCAGCACTCCCGGTCATATTTACGTGGGCCTCCGGTACAGAGAGAAATTGGGACAGGCTGGCACAGACCCCGAGGAACTGACTGTGGAGCTGTCAGGATTACTGTCTGAGCTCAGAGCTGGCAAAGGCCCCCAGCCACACTCAGCACAGCCCCCTCTTGTGCGGATTACTCACCGGCAACCAAAGCAGAGCACAGGCAAGAAGAGACAATAGGCCTGTCTGACCAGCCACTCTGAAAGGACGTGTGGTGTAAGGACACAGAGCGACCTTTTGTTCCCAAGAGACAATTATTCGTTTTCTGTGGCAGAGTAACAAAGAAAACCCCACCAGACTTTCATCCGTAGCTTCTGGCTGAGGCAAAAAGACAAGGGGAGATCTCTTTGGCAAGGAGAGTAAGTGAAACAAGGCCAAAACGGACTGTTACAGACCAGGAGGCTAATGAACGAGCAACGCACTCACTGTGTCCTCTGTGTTTTATTCATAGAATCACAGAATGGTTTGGGTTGGAAGGGACCTTAAAGACCATCTAGTTCCACCCCCCTGCCATGGGCAGGGACACCTTCCACTAGACCAGGTTGCTCCAAGCCTCATCCAGCCTGGCCTTGGACACTTCCAGGGATGGGGCATCCACAACATCTCTGGGCAACCTGTTCCAGTGCCTCACCACCCTCTCTGTGAAGAATTTCTTCCTGATATCTAATCTAAACCTCCCTGTTTTCAATTTGTACCCATTACCCCTTGTCCTATCACTACAGGCTCTTGTAAAAAGTCCTCTCCCAGCACCTATTCTCCCTTCTTAGCCCTACTCCGCCTCTCGCAGGGATTACCAGGCCTTCAAAGCAGTGGTACAAGCATCACGCTTGCTCACGATTCCTATTTCTGCTCCTCTGTCCAGGTGAAAGAGGGGAAACGGGACAGTCAGGTGAACGAGGATTTGCAAAGGAAGGAGCAGGTGAAGAGTTGCTGAAACATCATTTTCCATAACTGAGAAAGCAAAGAGCCACCAATCATTATTTCAGCCACTGCACTCACCACTGCAGCCCAGATACCGAAAGGGACTGCTGCCACACTCCAGACTGAAAGAGAGATTTGTCAGGGAGGAAGCAGACCAGAAACCCCAGGGCTGGTCAAGAACTTCAGTGTAGCTGGGTGCTCAGGAAGTAAGACAGGGAAAGGTGTAAAAGCAGCAGATTATCTAAACAGTGTGGCTTTTTTTGAGGAAGAAAACTAAAGTGATTTCCTTGCAACTGAAGAAAATATTCATTGGAAATGTCCTGATTTTTGACAGCCCAGTGAAAAACCGTGTTTAATTTGGTTTGCACCTACTGTCATTAAAAGCCAGTTTTGTTACAGGTGTCTCATAATTTCCTCTCTCTCTCCTCATTTTCCAAAGGGGACTACGGGATGGGCAGGGAAGAAGGAAGAGACGAAAGCCACGAGATTTTGTTTTGAATAGTTTCAAATAGACGTTCCTACACAAAGTGGCTACACTCTGTACTTCTAAAGCACGCAGTGATAAGCAGATTCTTTGAGTGGATGAAAGGAAATGCTCTGCAGTAGAACCTGCCCCCTACACAAGGACAGTGCTGCTGTTACAACCTGAAGGCCTTAGTGGTATTTGCTCTAGGACAAACAAATACAGTTGGCGCACAACACAGCCAAGATGTTTCCCTCTTCTCGCAATGGTTCAAGAGAAAACGGGGTGAATCCTCCCCCAAACAAAGCAACCAAACAAAACTTACCACTCTTAGCAAATTCCGACGTTCTTTGAAGGTGGCACAGCAACCAAGGATGCCGGTAACCATGACAACCACCCCAGCCACCACCAGAATATAAGCAGTGGCTGAATAGGTGCTGGAGGAGAGCAGGCTGATGTAGTCACTCTTCTCAGCTAGGGTCCAGGTGCCCACTGCCATCACGGCCCCACCAGCCAGCTGGGTGGAGAGAAGCAAGTAATTGAAGGGCATCTGATGGGTGAACTTCCTCACCTCCCAGAGCAACTGGGCCGGGATACCAGGACGTGCCTCAGCTCTGTAAGGTGAGCTAAAGATGATCTACACTGGAGGAAAGACTCCCAGAAATCTCACTGGGACCAGGAGCAGGCCCCAGTGCAGTGGGCAGTGCTGGGCTTCAAGGCAGCCAGTTTAGCACCCCAGGCAGCCTGAGATGCAAGCTCTCTGGAGCATCCACCTGTGCACAGCAAATCGTACTTAGACCAGAGCCTTCCCGAATGTAGCCACACTGTTATCTGGGCAAGTATGAAAAACATCAATCTGGTGGGGTGCTACCTTGCAGCAGAGGGGAAGAAAACAGCTTTACGTCAGGGAGCAATACCACCAATAAATGACAACCACGTCCAACATCTCCTCACTCGACTATACATCTGGGGAGAAAGCAGCCATGGAGCTGAACAGCCTGGCTGGTTAAACTCCAACCCTTGCAGCAAATGAACACAGAGAAGCCAACCAGGCCCCTAGCAGTCCCTTCTCTCTTTGCAAGCCTTGTGTTTCCAGAGGGTTTTATGCAGCTTCTAGTAAGCTCAGGCAGTTTTCCTCAGAGATCTGACCGGGACACTCCAGTGCTGTATCCCAGGCAGCCAAGGAAAAAAAAATTCTTTGGCATCAGTAACTTTCTGGTGGAAAGCATGACTCTAGGAAGCTCTAGTGTGGACCCTTCTGCAAGAAGGTGTCTGTTATCCTTGCCCTGGCTGTCCCACTCCACTACCAGGACTCCCTCTACCATTCTGAGAGGAGGAATGAATGGTAGACAGTGGAGTCCTCAGACTCCCTGAAAAAGCAAGCCGGGTTAAAAAAAAAAAAGAAAAAAGAAAAAGCACGTTTTCAGGCTCCCTGTTATCTTCTATACTTGGTAACATGACCTAGAAACAGCCAGACACTGCAGTGTCAAACTGTAATGTCTGCAGCCTGGGCAGGCTAGCCCAAGGGATGGTATTTCACCCCACAGGACAAAATCTGTCCCCTACTGAGTCAGTGCTTTTTGCCAAAGACTTCACCAAGCCCAAGATTTCTGTGCCCCTGACCCCAAGACCACAGTGCCATCTCAGTGCCTCCGAAATACACAAGATTTTTACCCAGAAAAAGAAGTTGAAGATGAAGAGCAGGTACTTGAGACAGATGGTCCCACAGGTCTCCTTCTTCTCCGTATACTCACGCATCTTTCTGGCTCAGCAAGTTCCTGAAAAAAATAAATCCGAGAACCTCGAGTCAGTCATCTCCTGTCTTCTCGCAACAGGCCAGTATCACTCCTCTCCTCAAGCAAGAGCTCACACTTCTGACCTTCTGCTGAAGTACGGCAGCGAGCGAGGCATTCCCTGACCTCAGGGATGCTAGACAGTGCTTGCTTAGATAAACAGCTCTTGTATCCATCTGGGCAACCTACACAGCACCTGGAAAGGTGTGAAAGGGAGGCAGATGGTACCAGCGTGTGGCCTTCCTGTATGGCCTTTGTCCTGCTCCCTCCTCATCCTGCTGTCACTTCTGGAGATTCATTGTCCTTTAGATCAATACTTGCAGCGGAGGGATCAGATCTGGCAACATCAGTTGGCAGCAGAAAGCAAAGGGAGCAGCTCTGAGATGGAGGCATATATCAAGGAGAATAACTCTTCAGAGTTACCTTATCTTCAGAGGAGATCAGAACCTCCAGCGATGCTCAGATTAATTACCATGTTGCAGCACAAAAAAGCCCAGGGCAGTGGGGAGGAAGGGATGCTGGTGGTACCGCGTGCGCTGAACAGACTTGTAAATTCTCAATGAGAAGACGCCCCGTGAACACAACGTTGGTGGAAGGTGACAGATTTACAGCTCCCAGAGGCTTCAATTAGACATAGAATGGGAACAGCAGCAGGGCAGGCTCCCACAGCCTCACGCGCTTGCACAACCCCAAACAGGTACCTCAGCCCAGACTCTAGAGATACCCCCCAGTAACAGACTCCGAGGGCTGTGCCTGGCTTTTTGCCCACCCCTGCTAACATCAGGGCCATACGTAGAGGAGAATACACCACAGATTTGCAAAGACTGGTCCATAGCACTGATAGCCAGGGTATGGTCACAATGCTTACTGTCCTTGGGCTGGCCCCTTGGCCCTGTTCCCCTCTTGCTCCAGAGGATTTCAGGAACCTTTCCTTCTTCCCCTCAAAGTACATCCTCCACCAAAACAAAGCCACTATAGGTATTTCCACATATCGCCATAGAGCAGGTGCTGTGCCCTGGAGGGGGATGCTAACTTGTCCCTCGCTCTGACCCGAGCGCTCATCAATCCCAGACCGAGCTGTGGCAGATGCACAGCTCAGACCACACTTGCATTCAGATGAGAGTATGAAACTCCCCCCGAGACTGCAGGTCCTGCTCCACTGAGCACCGCATCCGAGGCTTTCAGGCGGCTCAGCTTCACTGCTGGAGGAAAGGATCTGTTTCCAGAAAGCTGGCAGGGAACAGCTGCAGGTTTATAAAGCACGGTGATTCACGAAGGGATGGCAGGCCATGAATCAGAGAGCAATCAGGGCTGTCTCTCGTTTGATCCATCCTTCCTAGCCAGGAGCAGAGCTGATGGCACTGGCTGCCTCTGCGTGCTTAATGACTCACCCTGCCAGCTCTTCAGGGAAAGGCAGCTCTCGCCAGACCCTCTTTTTGGAAATCATGTGTTTGTGCTCCTGGTCTCACACAGGGTGGCCTGCCGCCTCCCGTCGCCTGCAAAGACAGGGTCAGGCTTTAGGGAGCTATGCTGGTCTCCAGGGAAAGCGAGGGCAGGAGATGCAAATGAAATGCCTTTCCTCTGAGGCAGAGCTGAGCCGCAATCTGCCTTGCAGGCTAAGGGTGACTTTGGGCTCTGAGCCTCGTGGTCCCAAGAAGTATAGAAGTGTTGATCCGCACCAGGATGAAGACGGGGGTCTTCATGCTGAATTCACTGATGTGACCAGGGTCTCTTGGCTTTGGTCATCTTTATAACAGACTCTCAGAAGTGACCCAAATTACTCTTGAAACCGGACAAGAACAAGCAACATTAACACATGGTTATATTCTTCTTTAAAACACTGAGGCAAAGGTCTATTCAGAATCACATTGGTAATTACAAACAAGCTCTCCAGTGGAGAGAAGATGGCAAGCCATGCCACAGGGGTGTATTTACAAATGCATAAAACATATTAATTAGACATGAGCTTCGTAGCGGGAAGCTCTTGTCTGACCGAAAAAGTGGTTAGAAGACCAAAACCACTTCCATAATGGAGTTCACTTGGTGCAGTCCAATAGACAGCAGCTTCATCAGCAAGTTAAATTTAAGCAAGCTAACATGGGATACAGGCTGTGAAGCTGAGTCATACAATGAAGAGATGTATTTTTATGTAACTCACCAGAAATCAACAGGTTCCTACTACACCTACACACACTGCAGTGTAAGGGACAAGGAGAAATGATGCTCTAACTAAAACAAAATACACAAAGCTGGGAGGACAAAACAAGGGCAAACTCAGTGTGACAGAACCTGCACACGAAAGGGAGGGGTAACAGTTTGAAGATTAATTCAAGAAACTGGGAGTCGAACAGCTTGAATCCAGTTCTCCATTTCGACACAGACTTTCTGCATGGCCTTGGGCAAGTCCCTCAGTCTGTCCCTTGCCTCTGCTCTTCCTCCCCAGCGCAGGACCTTCATCTTCCTCTAAACCCAGTGACGTTGTAAGGATCTGAAGTGGGAACCCCTGCTGACAGGAGTTCAGATGCAAGGCACTACAGACTCCAGGTGACTGGTGTATTGGCAAAATCCCTACAGCAACCCAATTTCCCTGCCTCAAAAGTGCATTTGCCAGTATGGGCTACTTTGGCCAATGAACTGAACAACCTCTTTTAGGGTTACTAAAATTCATAGTTAGAATCACAGGACTGTCTAGTAAAGCAATTGTGGTAACAGTTTACTAGGCACGCTGGCTGAAATGCATCAAAGATGGCGAGATGCTCATAATGAAGTATGAGAAAAAGGAGTAATAGTGAAGCTCCTCCATGAAGAGCAGGAGGATAGGATGACCCACCTAGGAAAACATCTCTAATAAATAAAAAAAGAAAAAGAGAGTGAGCTCATCCTGCCCTGTCTGGCTGCCAGCCACAACCTCCCAGCTGGGTAAGAACACACAGCGTGTGACTGCCAAGCAAGGCAGGGTTCTCTTCAAAAGGGAAACCATTCTATGGCCTGATTTTCTTGGGCTCTCATTCTACGGAGACCGATGCCTTAGGACAAACTGGACAACAGGAAGGAACAAGAAGTTGGCAGTTTGGCTCCAGTTCCAGGCACTGAGCACCTAGGAACAGAAGCACCACACAAACAGCTGTTTCCTTGTACTGAGCCACCTAAAATCTCAGTGGCAGGACTTGCTCTGGTTATCCCACATTAGGCCAATGTATTTTTCTTTGCAGGCCCAAAGGCACATAGAGGCACACACCAACATCCCAGCTTGGAAAGCACATGGCACGCACACACACACACACACTCCTGCTGGCTAGACATTCATTTAGTCATCACAGACGTTGCTTGGTACATCTGCCTCAACTTGCCCAGGAACAGTGCTTAATTAAACAGCAAAGAAAGCCAGGCCTGCAGGCTCTTTCTGCACAACCTGTCCTAAAGCAGTGTCTGACAGATGGGGAAGAAACAATGCCAAAGCAAATTAAATAGCTCCCAGGCCATTAAAAGCATCATTATTTTTAAGTACTGATTTTTGAATGATAGCAAGGAGATTGGTATCCAACGCGTCAGTGACGCCTATTTCATAGATAACTTGTATGCCAGAAGGTAGATAACTGCTAACACCTCTGCCAACACACACGAGAGACTTGCTGCAGGAAATCCCACTGCACCTATGCTGCTATGAAGGTTCAGCTCCCATAGGGCTGCGAGTCCAGCATTGTTAGGCCCCTGCCAATATGGCCACCTCATGCACCCAGTGCGCACTGGTACTGGCCTGGAGGGCAAGGTCTGGCCACACTGGAGTCTCAGTCTATTTGACGCAACTCTTAGCAAACAAAGCAGATACCCCTTGGTATGTGCAATGCGGTGTGGGTCAGTAACCTAATAAATTCAGCAAACTGACTGCAGACCTCATTCTCCAGCAAGGCTGAACTCCAACCTTTGAAAGCGTGACCTCTGTAAGTTCCCTCTGCAAGATGAAAATATTACCACCGCTGCTTTACCTACCACACTGGACCTCCTCAGAAAAGGCCTCGAGCTGCTTATCAACTTGCCAGCACATCTCACACAGCCCAGGAAGCAGCCAGAAGTCATTAAGTAAAACCTTCCCAGGAGAGGAACTGTCAAGCTTGCAGGCGAAAAGCTCAAACCTACACAACTACCGAGAGCCATTACCCTCCACAAACCAGCAGCCAACATGGGTCAACAGCCTTGACACTGACCTTTCACCACCAAAGCAGCTCACAGAACCGGTGCAAACGTTCAGTCCTCTTCAAGTGCTTTCTTCCACCCCCTCTCTTCTTGCTGCCTCTGGTCCACTGCTGGACTCAGGAAAGCAGAAAGCTGAAGAAGAAAAGGAGAAAGATGCAGAGAATCATGAACTATGTCAAATAGCATTGTGGGAATCAATATTTGGTAATACACTTTGCCACCAAGTCCTCCTTTTAAAGACAGCGCATGATTTCAGAACACCCCTTACGAATGTATTTGATTAAACTGGGAAGTGTGCACTGGATAATAGGGGAGAGCCAAACTGCAGCAGTGGGGAGTGTAAAGACCTGACAGTCAGAAGAGGTTTACATTGACTGTAAATGCTGCTATGGTTTCTGTCAAGGCCACGACCACAGCCCATTCTAGAGCAAAAGGCCCAAAACTAACTCCATGAGAAAGCTCAAGAAGACTTTTCTGTGCCACGTGAAGCCCTAAGCTGGTGTTAATGTATCCAAGTGACGTTGCTCCTAGCCCTTCCATGGGAATCACAGAACCGTTTGGGTTGGAAGGGACCTTAAAGCCCATCCAGTCCCACCCCCTGCCATGGGCAGGGACACCTTCCACTAGACCAGTTGTGGAAGTTGTTCCACTAGACCAGACTAGCAAAACCAGTAAACAGCCCCAGCCTATATTGACACTGGGGGTTGCCCCAACCCATGTGCAGGTTCCCTTTCCTGCTTCAGTCTCTAATTCTTACCCATAAGCTTTCAACCTGCTCATGGCTGTTCTTCAGAGACAGCTCTTCACAATCTACCCATTTCTTGACAAAGAGGGCAACCCCTCCTCTCCTGTCCCTTACAAACAGCTTGGGAATCCCTACAGGCCTTTAGGAGGGGTGACACACCTTCATTTATAATCAGCTTGGATTACCCCTGCTCCCATGCCCTGTGAAAAGGAATGCTCTGGTATGAGCTAGAAACTTGTTGATTCACATTACCACCTAGCCTCTAGACCACGAAAACATCTCTTGACAGAAACAGTGGAAATCCCAGCACATGAGCCACGGAGACGCAGGCCAAACAATGTGCTGGCATCATTAAATAAAGATCAGCCAAGGGAGATTTCTGAGGAACTGGGGAGAGGAGGAAAGGCACAGGCAGCATGACTGCCTGCAAAGCAAGCAACAGTTATGAAGCATCCTCAGTCCTGAGGCTGGGCCCAAACTCTCCTCAAGCAGCCCTTGTGCCCTACCACTTACCCACCTGCTTTACACTGCTCCTGCACTCCTGCCCTTCCAGCAGGGAAAGCCAACCCGGGATGCAAAGCTGAACCCTTTGCTTTCCATCTCAGCATGCTGGAACATGCTGGAAGCCAAAGTACTTGTGCCTGTAGGGGTGGGGAGAAGGAAAACACGAGCCAAACATCTAGAGAGGCAAAGCAGCTCCTTCTCAGGAACTGCCATTTATAGGGGGATGCTGGCATACAGAACAGATTCTGATGCAGTGGTGTTTTCCAGCCGCATCATCTGCTCCTACCAGGAACGTGCACAGTGGTCCTGGGAGAGGCTGGGACAATTTAGAAAGCCAAATACATTCAAAAAGAAGTAAGAGCTCTCGGCCACCTTTGCCAGACCCCGCTTGACCCTATCTCTCAACTGGGAGAGCACCTCGCTGAAGAACCTAGAGAGGATAAGCAAGATCCCATCCAGGCATCTGGGGATGATCTCACCTCAACACCCTCTGGGTCCAAGCATCATCTCCACAGGCGCATCACAGTCCTGCTGCCACCCCTCAGGATGCTTGCCAAATCCCTCCTTTCTTCTGCCCTAACTGAAGCTGCTGCATTTGGAGTAGACTCTTCAAGAGAGATGCAGACCCTTAACTCCTGCTAATTTTGATGAGAGTGAGGTACCCAGCAAGGAATTGTGTGCCTAATACACCTGAGGAGCTGCCTGCTCTTTGAGACAAGAGCTGTCTCTCAGGAGAAGAGCACTTAGCCCTTCTGCTCATTTTTCACCACTTACTTCAGCATAAATCACAACAAACATAAATTACAAACTCAGCAAGGATTGAAGTGTTCAGTACCACACACGTATCTGTGAATTGTTTTATGAAGGGGTTAGTCAAAACTGGGCAAGGAGATGGCTGGCTTCGGGATCCTTGAGGATAAAAGGGACTTTAGCATAAAACCAATTTCACAATCATTAAGAAAATTTAGTGTGTGACAGCGTGATCGAGCGTGCCGGGGACTGCATGTGTCCTCTAGCACTGTTACACTACAAAGCAAACAAGAAAACCCTTTATAGGGCTTTCTGGTCCTAAGAAAACACACACAGCCAGCCACATCCCCAGAGCAGAAAGCCCGCCTGCCTCTCCCAGAAGCGGATAATCAGGGAAGCAAATGGCCTCTCCAAGCACCAGTCCCCACGGGGAGCTGGAAGGCAGTCCAGAGCCCGGCACGCACTGCGCGACCAACGGGAACTCCTTCTGCGTCAAACAACACCCTCTTGTATCTCACAAGGCCTCCTTTATCCTGAAGGATCCCGAAGCACTTTACGCTATTTATACACAGGAACCACTTCACTAGTCATTGAGCTGAGGAGAGGAACAACAACCGTCTCTCTTCTCTCTCACTCGAAGCACCAGAAACCAGTGCCTGGCGTGTGTTTGCAGAGAGCTCATGGCAACGGGGGTCTGCCACGACGAGGAACAATAGTTGAGATAGGTCAGGGTCAGCCAACAGACAAGACCAACTCTTCGCTGCAGCCCACTATTGATAGTGTAAATTCTGTTTTCCCGAACTGTGTTCATGGGCACTGTAGGGTTGGGGTTTTTTGTTTTGTTTTGGGGGGGGTGGTTTGGGGTGGTTTTGGATTTGTTTTTTAGGCAGGGCTTTGTCTGCAATGGAAAAACTTACCAATGGCATTAAACCACATTTCTAAACAAACAGTTTGTGCAGAATCAGCTTCCCGCCTGATCCCTTCCCATTCATGACATTCACTTTCAGCTCAGCTCTCAGAATCCACTGCGTCCTCGGTGCTTTCACACAACCTCCCAACCCAAATTTGATAGACTGCTATTCTTCTGGTCTGATCGACGCAACCCTCATGAAGTACAGCCAGCATTTGCTACAAGGTAGGACTAATGGACTCTATATATATTACATGATGCCTCTTTTACCAAGAAATTAGTAAATCCTTATGGGAAATGTGTGACATTATGAATTATTACCTGATCCCATGTCTTCCCATATACAGTTCCAGTTGCACTATGATAAGGTGGTGGGTTTTTTCCCCCTACTGATTGATTTGGCTTCTGCTGTGCTGCTGAGTTTGTGCCAATGACTGACCTCTCTCTCTTTTTTTCTTTTTTTTTGGTGGGGGGGGGGGGGGGGTGGTTTGGGGTGGTTTTGGATTTGTTTTTTAGGCAGGGCTTTGTCTGCAATGGAAAAACTTACCAATGGCATTAAACCACATTTCTAAACAAACAGTTTGTGCAGAATCAGCTTCCCGCCTGTTCCCTTCCCATTCATTACATTCACTTTCAGCTCAGCTCTCAGAAGCCACTGCGTCCTCGTCCTCGGTGCTTTCACAAAACCTCCCAGCCCCGTAGCCATGCCGGTACCAGGACCAAGCCTAGAAGCACTAAAAGTCCTGGGAGGATAAAAATCCCTCCAGTGCCCACCAAGCCCATTCAGGCAATTCTGCACAAGAATTCAAAGCACTCTCCGAATAATGGAGCGACGATAACCATTCGTTCACTCTCTACAAACAGCTGGGTTTTTACACAGTGGTTTGAACTCAGGGGAAAGACAGACCTAAGAACACGTGCTGTGTTGTAGTAGTAGCCGAGAGTCGTAGTCATTCAACACTTGGCTGCAGCCTCACTGCAGAGGTACTTGCCATTTCATTCCATACAAATCCCTGCAGTGAAAAGGTGACCAGCTAAAAGCTGGAAGATTTTCTACCTACCCACAGTATCAGGTGGATATTCCATGGAGGCCATCATCTTCACCTCACTAAGCTCACAAATTAATCATGGGACTTTAAAAAATCGTGGCAACCATGGGACTGTCAACAATCCACACAGCAGTTTTTGGAGGACAGGGCAAGCAGCTGGTGTGTGCCCACGGGGTACATTTCCAGCCTCTCAATGACACAGTGGTCTATAATCTCCCTGCCAGAAAGATCCTTTACCCCCTCAAAGCATCCCAACAAAGAAAAAACAGGTAACACATTATAACAGGCTCACAGAGAGATCAAGTGTCTCTCCCCACAGACAGAAGGGGTGGATTCACTCTCTTTGCATCTCAACACCCATCCTCCATCTTCCTGAGCTGTTCCGACCTCCGGTAGCCCACTGCAGAATGCAAAGGTGTAAAAAGCAAAGTTTTCAAGCTACTTGTTAGCACTGCCCCACGTGTGACCACAGAGCAAGGAGCGCACAAAAAGCCAGCACCAGCTCTGGCTTTGGTACAAAACTTGTGTCACCTTGAGTAGCCTGTTCCTGGTCACACTCTGTGGTGTAAACAAGCAAAGCAAAAGTCTCCGGAGTCAGCCCATGGATCTCTCCCAGGCAGCCTGCTGCAGTTTCAACTCCACAAAGATCGTATTTTAGAAGCAGCCGAGGAGGGATTTAACACAGAAACAAAGGTTAACAGCCTTACGCTTCAGCCGTGCTGCTGATCAGCTCAGGACTGGTGCCAGCCATGCCAGAGGAAACCTCTCCGTGTGTCAGCCACAGAGCTGGTACCCGCAGTCCCAGGAAAGGGGCAACGCACCCTGCATCACCCCAGCGCACCGATGGAGAAGGGAACAGAATGGGGCGACAGCAGCCCTCACCTCAGCACAGCAGCGAGAGAGATACTGGTGATATCTTCAGGAGCCTCCCGTCTCGTGCAGTAACTCTTGCCCCTGGAATTACCCACTTCTCCAACAGCCCTACCAGGAATGGATAAGAATTCTCTTCTGACTATCGGTCCTTATATATCCCTGATGTCCGTGCCGACGAGGGTGTTTTGGAGTGTTCCCTGAAGGCTTTGAGGAGTTATATTCCTCTCCAGAGCTAAAAACACTTTACTAGATTCAGATCAAATATCAAACGCAGTCAAAGGCAAATTAAATGACATTTGATT